GGCGGCGGGCGCCATGGGGTGGCCCCTTTTGGGGTAGTCCATCACAACTCCAAATGAGTTCCACTCTTCGCCGAAACCTCTCTCCACAACGGGAGCGGCGAGTAGAGACCCCGCCGCCGCCGCCGCGTGTGGTAAAGGAGAGAGAGAGAGAGAGAGAGAGAGAGAGAGAGAGAGCGACGAAAGTAAAGGCGGAGAGCGCAGGAGAAAAGAGCGTAGAGAGAGCGAGAGCCCTCCTTGCGGGCCACGCCACGCGCGGGGACCGCACGTGCGCGTCCTCTCGGGACAGAGGGAAGAAGAACCAGCGCCGCCACAAAGCGCCTCGGAAGACACCCCCCGGAAACCCTTCCCGGTGTACCACCCGGGCGGTACCCGGCTCACAAGGCAAACGGTCGTCTAATAAGACTGATAGCGCTGCGGCCCGTAGGCACCCGCTCACGTCCCCCCGGCTACGCGATTGGACTCTCTGGGTCCGACCCCTTTCCCATTAATGACTTTCCCGTTAAACCTGTTCGACCCCCCCCGGTCTCCTGCGCCCAGGAATGCGGTTATACCGTGAGGTCAGTCGGTGTGTCGGCGTCCCTCTCGCGCCCGCTGCGCAGCTCGGCCAGGAGCGTGGTAACCTCTCTCTCGCACACCCTCCCATCCGGGGCGGCCGAGACGGCGGATGGAGGGCCGGCGCACCTGCTCGCCATCAACCCCGCCCTCGCCCCGCACCCCCAACCAAGTTCAAGGCCCGGGCGATGCTGGGCCCGGCCGAACAACTTCCAAATCTATTATATTATCGGTCGGGGGAACTCATGAAAAGGTATTCGCCGTAACAACTCCGCGCGGGGGAGCTGCGCCATCGGACCTCCTGAGCCAGGGGGGACCCGGTGGGCAAACTGTATCGCCACCCCACGCCCCCTTCCCTTCCTTCTTGAGCAGCTCAATGTGAGGGATTAGCCAAAAGTTGGCGAACGGTGAGCATTTGGGGACACGGTATGACGCCTCCGACCGCCGCAGGCGAACAGAGACGAAAGAAACCACTCTCCCGCTCTCCTCTGCCACTTACACGACAACCCTTATTGCAAGTACGAGTGTTAGAAACCATTCGATCCAGCCCACTTCTTCAATTGTCCCTGAACGACGCAGGGTTTGAATACCAGATTCTGCATCAACATCATAATGCTGTTTGTTCAGACACAGAGTCAGAGACGCTTGAATCTGCTCTGAGCCTCTCTTCCATCACGGCGCGTTCTCGTCGTCTTCCCGAATCCCACGGTTGTAGATATCATTTATTCATCTGGTTAGCTCTTTGGAATTTCCAAGGACACGTTTACGAACTGGGATGGGATGTACGCAGATTGGATGTAGAAAAATTCACAAGCGATGGAGTGCAAAGTCGACTTCGAGGTCTAATGAGTTTACAAAGATCTCATTTCGATCTTTCGTAGCGGAAATTCGAGGTTTCTACTATCGAATAACTGCTGCGCCGCGCAACGAAAATGAAATTTACATAGTGTTGCGCCGACTGCAAGACCTGGAATGACGCGAATGTCTCCGACGCAGCCGCGGCAGCCGTGCTGTTCGAGCGCTTCGCTCCGGGACTCGTGGAGGAGGGGAGCAAAATCTGATATCGAGGCTGATGGCGAGAGATTAGGCGGGGCGGGCATGGAGTACGGCGCGGCCCGGGCGAAAGTGAAATCGATTTGAGTCCATTTCTTTATGACTTATTCTCTCCGGCGCGCCGCCTGCCGCCGCCCGCCGCGGGGCGCAGATGGCAAAGGCACGACGAGCCGGGCCGAGCCCGCCCGCCTGGCCTCTGGCGCAGCCAGGTGGGGGAGGAGGGGACATCCGAGATTACAGTCAACAAACGCTAATGCCGTAGAATGAGCAATGGCAGCGATAAGTCGCACCCGGAAAAATATTAGATAGCTATACAATAACTAATAAAGAGAACTAATGATTTAGCCTCGTAGCCAAAAAAAATAGTTGACACAAATATTTTAGCTTTCTAAAAATGTAGGCGTGTAGCTTAACACACTGAAAACTGCGTAATGACGCATGTCGATCACTAGATAATAACGCGGTGCACATTTCAGTTTTTGTGGAATATTTTCCAAACGAGCCCTGAAATTTAATTTTTGAATGCACCATTGAATTTCCCGTAAAATTTCCGATCAAACAAGCCTACATGTGATAGGGTTCTGAACAAAGGTTCTCTAAGAACATGTCTTATTCCGTATTATAATTTGAACTCCGAACCCTATCACATGTAGGCTTGTATGATCGGAAATAAATACTCAATCCACTTACGTTTTTGGCGAGCTTCTTCATCTGCCGGGAGCCCTTCCACCAGGTGATGACTGGCTCGGGGCGGGAGCCCACAGACCGACACTCCACCTCGTAGCGCCGCTCCGCCGACAGGGCGCGCTCCTTGTTCATGATGCGTACCTCCAGCGGACGGACTGCAAAGGTTCAGACAGCAGGGTTTCAAGGTTTACTTTTACTTCGGCGCGCGCGAGGTTTAAATACGGAAAACGCAGCAGTAGCGCGCGCACTGTGTGTGAGGTCTTTCATTCTTCGTGTTTGCAGAGAGCAAGTAAATGGAGAACGGGTGAGAGAAAGAAGGAAGAGGTAGAGGCGGGGGGCGAGGAGAGGGGGAGAGGGGGAGCGGGTCAAATACGCGTTTTGACTTATCGTAGACCGCGGTAATTAATTGCCTGCTGCGGCGCTGTACGTGTTATGTGGGTGTGTGTGCGAGAGAGAGAGAGAGAGAGAGAGAGAGAGAGAGAGAGAGAGAGAGAGAGAGAGA